ATATATAAAGTGATATTTGGGTCAGTAGTTCAACTTTTGAAAAAAAGTTAAAGTACAGGTAAAAAAGGTTTTATATTAATAATATTTATTTTTAACCTCCGACGAAAACAAAGGGGTGTTATGTTTGTAGTGTGTATCTGTGTATCTGTCTCTATGTGTCTGTCTGTAGCATCATAGCTCCTGAACGGATGAACACAAATTGGGATGTTTTTTGTTTGAAAGGTACCTTTATTGAGAGTGTTTTAACTATGTTTCTCGAAAATCTGTTCAGCCGTTTGAAGATCATCAACTCTTGTTTTTGGTTCTTTTGAATTTTTTAAATTTTAGTTATTTTTTTACTAATGGTATAGCAAACTTTGACTAGATCCTAAAAAAAATACAATTTAAATATATTATGGTAAAATAGAATGTAACCTAATTCGATCCTATATTATAATAGGTTTTCAGACACCCACCTCTCAGCAATGACAACATGTAAGCTAATACAATAGAATCAGAAACAGAAACGTTTTATTCAATGTAGATTATAAATAATACTTATTGAAAGTCATCCGAAATCCTAATAACACTATTGGTCACACTGTGTATAGGAAAAAGACCCATACCAACCGATATTTAAATGGTGAATCGCACCATCATCCATCACAGTTAGCTACCGACTTGGCACCGAAGTTCCGGGAAGACTGCAGTGTGTGAACATGTTCTAGATCGTCCACGAAATTACATTAGATTTGATAGACCACAAATCTTCGCAAAAGAACACCGATTCCTACCAAGGATGATTCGCGAGGTCATTGAAATTAAAAAAAAACATCCTAATTTCAATAGAGAAGATGGATGGGTGCTGCTATCTGCTTGGGATCCTATAATTAATAAATTTAAATCCAAACCCAAGCATACCACTGCAAGACTTCAAGATACTCTAAGCTCATTCTGCGTAGATCGGACCAAAAATTAATATTCAAAAACTGAAGGTAGCTGGGTTAACTGTGACATCGGGACGTCAAATCAAACACCTCAGTTCCCCCCCCCCCCCCCCCGTAACCATGGGTGCTGTAAACGAAAAAAGTTAAACGCGATAAAATTCGTAAAAATTAGTTTCCTTTAATGTGTAGTCTTAGCTGTTGTGTCACTTCCTTGATTCCCTGATCGGGAATCAAGGAAGTGACACAACATTACTATTTAAAAATGTATTTATTGCTTTTCGAAGTATGGTCTGCGAAATTTGACACAGTTTTTCATACGATGGAACCAATCATTGAAGCAACCATTCCATTCGGAAGTTGGGGTCTCCAAAATGGCCGTTTTGTAGGCGTCCACAGCTTCTTCAGTTGATGAAAATCTCTGTCCACGCAATTTATTCTTTATTTTAGGGAAAGTATATAAATCATCAGGGCTTAGGTCGGGGCTGTACGGCGGATGGTCTAATAATTCTATGTTTTCTTGCTCTAAAAACTCTTTTGTTCTGTGTGCGGTGTGAGAACTCGCATTGTCGTGATGGAGGATGATGCGGCGGTTGCAGTTCTCTTTACGGAGTTCAGAAACGACCTGTGGCAAACAAATGCTAGCGTACCATTCTGCATTAACCGTTCTTTTTCCCTCAAGAGGAATAGTTGTAACATGGCCGGTTTTGGAGACAAACGTGGCCACCATTATTTTTGCAACACTCCGTGAACGAACGAATTTTTGTTGGCTTTAACTCATTTTCGAACACCCAAATTCGTGACTGGTTTTTGTTTCGGGTTCGTACGCGTATATCCAGGTTTCTTCACCTGATACGATGTTGTATACAGCATTTGAGGATCCTGCGTGGAATCTTTCGAGAGTTCTGACGCACCAAGTAACGTGAGCCACTTTTTGCTCTTCACAGAGCGAATGCGGTATCCATGGGGAAAACAACTTTTTTACACCTAATTGTTCATGCAAGATTATTTGTATTTCACTCATGCCAATGTGTAAAGTTGCCTGAATTTCGCGGTATGTCACATGTCGATTTTCCTCAATCAGCTTACGCACAGCATCAACGTTTTCTTGGGTGACTGCAGTTTTTGGACGACCTTGACGGGGATCATCACTGAGCTTGACACGTCCACGTTGAAATTCAGCAAACCAGTGATAAATTGTGGTTTTAGATGGGGCTTCATCACCAAATGCAGAAATCATCCGGTCAACACACTGTTTTTGTGTTAAACCACTTCGAAAGTCATAATAAATCATCGCTCTTGAATTTTCTCGAGTCAATTCCATTTTCTCAACGACTAAATAAGTTTGACAAAACCTTGTGACAAGACCGAGAATCTTTTTTTAAATAAATAAATGGTATTCGATTTTTAAAACCAAGGAGTTTTCAATTAAAAATATTTTAATATGACAGGAACAGTGGAAATATTCCATTCCCGATACTTTTAGTGCAGCCTTTGTATAAACCGCAAGAAAATTAATGGGTTCCGCTTGCTACTAAACTTAATGCGGGTATTTAACTTAGGGTTTCAGTTCATAATATAGTCTGTTAAACCGAAGTAGAGTTTACTTTGCTTATCATCATTACAGCCCTTCACAAGTCCACTGCTGAACATAGGCCTCCGCCAAAGAATGCCACAATGCACGGTCCTGAGCCACCTGCATCCATCGACTTCCTGCATGTCTTACCAGGTCGTCACTCCATCTCGTGGGGGGACGCCCTACACTTCGCCTACCGGTACGCCACTCGAGAACCTTTCTTCCCCATCGGTTGTCGGTTCTTCGAGCTATATGGCCGGCCCACTGCCACTTCAGCTTACTAATCCGTTGGGCTATGTCGGTTACTCTGCTTCTACTGCGGATATCCTCATTTCTAAGTTTTTCACGCAGAGAAACCCCGAGCATAGCCCTGTCCATAGCTCGCTGAGCGACCTTGAGCTGCCTCATACGGCCAGCAGTGAAGGACCACGTCTCAGTTCCATAAGTCATCACTGGCAACACGCACTGGTTGTACAATTTATAAAACTTTGTTTATATTTTATTTTAATTTTCTTTTCTATTCTTAATATTTTTTCGGTATTTTAATGCATTATTTTCAAATTGTTTTTATACAGTCGGGTTTTCATTTTTTTAGTTATTTATTTTACTATGGTGTACGCTCGTTGTTACGTTCGTTGTATCCCTTCCGTTAAAAATTAACCGACATATTGAATTCCCAGTGCTCTTCTGACGTTTTCCTCTATTGCTAGCAGTGATTTACGCTTGAGCATTGTTCACAAAATGGGATTTCCCAAAGTGATTATTATATTACTGCTAACCTAATAAAAGTATCCTAATATAGAAATGTGACAAGAATTTAATTTACGCAATAATTGTACCCCAATCAAATAGAATTATGTCACAGATTACGCTCAAAGTAACTTGAAATTAGGGATAGTGGTTTGTGAATAGACTGTTAAATTATAAATAGCTAATATTATGATCGAAGTCTTCAGGAGTGAACACGCATTTGCATTAAGATGTTCATGGGCCACTGCAGTCCTTCGATTCTTGAAAGAAAAAAAAAATATAAAGTACATATTCATTTCTTTGCCGTAAAATATTACAATTTCGTTTATATAACGACATTTTTTGATCTTTCATCTATTTTTACGCATAACCAAATCGGATAGTTATTTTAGCCGAAGAAGAACGCCGCTTTGTAAATCATTATGATCATAATTCTTGTAGTTATAGCTATTAAAAGTATAAAAAGGTATATAATTAGCTTGTTACTCATGTCACTAGTTGCAACACTCAGTAGTATTATACTAGCAATCACTAATTAAGTTTGCACTCATAGTTCAATTATTTATTGAACAACAAACATAACAATGTCAGCCGAATATAGAAATTCTCGGAATTCTGAAGACCGCGCCGTGATATAAGTTCTCGTAAAGAAGGGAAATACACCGAACCACATTTTTGAAGAGATGTCATCGGTTCTTCAGGATTCTGCGCCTTCATATACGATGGTGAAAAAATGGGCCCGCATATTTCAACAAGGACGAGAGAGCTGTAAAGACAACCCTCGCCTGGGCCGCCCTGTCACTGTACTGACCGAAGAAAACGTCCGAAAAGTCGAAAAAATCGTTCTGGTTGGTTGAAATTGCTGAACAACTGCAGATTAGCAAAGAACGAGCTGGAGAAAATATTTACATGAACATTTGAGTATGAGAAAAATTAGCGTGCGCTGGGCACCGAAAATACACAAGCAACGTCGACTCGGAAGTTGCAAATATTTTTTGGAGCTAGTCGGCGATAAATAGGAAGACATTTGGTAACGGATAGTCACCGTAGATGAAACATGGATTCGCCAATATGATCCGGAGTTCAAACAAGAGTCCATGCAATGGATAAAAAAGGGAGAAAGGCCGCCGGAGAAATTCAAGATGGAAAAGTCGGCGTCCAAGCTAATGGCGACTGTTTTTTGGGATAGCGAGGGAATTTTGCTTATCGACTATCTATCTAGGGGAACTACGATGAATGGCCAATATTACGCCAGTTTAGTGATTCAGGTTTGCGAGACTAGTGTACAGAAACGACGTGGGAAACTGACGCGCGGAGTGCTCTTTCTGCAAGACAACGCACCCGTTCACATCGCACAAGTTGCGAGGCAAGCCCTGAAAGACATGGGGTTCTCAGAGATTGACAACCCTTCGTATAGCCCATGCCTAGCACCTAGCGGTTTTTGCCTGTTTTCCAACTTGAAAAAGGATTTACGTGGCCGGAGATTTGCAGATGACAACGAAATGAAAGCTGCGGTTGATCGACATTTTGAAGAGAAAGACACAGAATATTTTAATTATTTTTTGGGTGGGTTAAAGGCATTGTATGCGAGATATGAGAAATGTATTTCACTTGAGGGAGAATATATTGAAAAATAAAAAAATAGAAACCATATAATATTTTCTTTCATTAAGTGCCTTAGGCCGCGGACATATCAGCCGCTCCCATTGGTAATGGAAATTAATATTTATATATATAAATTATTTATTTAGGGCGTGACAAACAACATTGCGTTGGTGGACGTGATGGAAGACAAATTAAAGGGTGAAATGATGGACTTGCAACACGGCTCTGCTTTCATGAGGAACTGCAAGATCCAAGCCAGCAAAGGTATCATTAATAGATTGTTTGAACTTTGAAGATTATTGGTTCAATAAAAAAAAACTTTCTATTTTTAAGTATAATAGAATGAAAAGTCCCCTGTGCTGCTTCGGTGTATGTTGTCCATACACGTCGTCGATATTTTTGTATAGTCTGGATATGTATATTTCTCTATTCTTACGCTGTTTTTCTTATATACTAAGCAAGTCGGAAATAAGCATGTAAAATTGCATTTATTGGCATCAGTATTGCCGGCACCGGTATCGAAGTCGAGGGTGCTCGTGTAATATAAAATTGAATGCCCCATTCCTAAACAACGACGACTCTTTGAGATTTTTGGATTTATCAACGTAAATTCTATAGATCCTACTGATTCAAATACTCTTTTTTTGTATAAAAAAAATTGTGAAAAACGCGGACACAGTTGACGAGATGGTAAATGGATACTGTGGCCCATAGACATCAACCATCGATTAAGAATTAAAAAGCGGATAAGTTGTCACACCTGAGGTCTAAGAAATTACTAGTTACTAAGAACAAGGGTCTACGGTTCGTGTCACTTAAGCTAAACGAAACACAGCAGCATTATGTTGCTGTTTCGAGCTGGTATTCTGTGCGATCTTAATCCTTTCCCGTTCGAGCCGACCTTCATGCTGCAGTCATAATAAAACGTGGCTTGAATTATGAAATGAGTAGATACAGATTATATAATTTGAATTATAATATAAATATGAATTATTATATGGTACAGATTATGCGATATCCGCCGGTTCGAAAATTTGCGTGGTGACGGCCGGCGTGAGGCAGCGTGAGGGAGAATCACGCCTTGACCTCGTACAGCGGAACACCGATATATTGAAGATTATCATACCGCAGGTAAGAACGTAAAAAGCACAATGGTACGTCATATATATTGGATCAAAGAAAACTAAATTCAATATAAGTATATTTTATCCATTATACATGTGTATCCCGGATGAGACTTTTGTTGAAGTACTTAAATCTTCGTTATTTAATCTATACAAGTAAATAAAATTAAAGTGTCTGTCTGTAATGTCGAAATAACAGCCTTTTACTATATAGATATAAAAGTATATTATACGGTACTTTAACAAAAACACGATTTTTAAAATTTTTGTCTGTCTGTCTTTCTGTCTGTCTGTCTGTTTGTTCCGGATAATCTCCGTAACGGCTGGACCGATTTTGACCAGACTTTCACTGACAGATAGCTGATGTTATAAGAAGTAACTTAGGCTACTCTTATTTTAGAAAAATAATTAGGGTTCCGCGCAAAAAATTAAAACCTATGAAATCCAATCGTAATAAATTACGCGCGGACGAAGGCGCGGGGAACAGCTAGTATATTATATTTTTGTTTGTATTGAAACAATTGTAAAATATCTATTATGACTCATTAATCTTTAATACTTTATAACTTAGACTGTGTAGTGGCAGGGTGAGAATATCCACTACCCCATGTCGTCCCGTGGGTATCGTTAGAGGCGACAGAGGGAAACAAAACAAGAGATGGGCAGATGCGGCTTCCTGATATCCAGTAAAATATAAAAAAAACTGCGGTTGACAACCCTTTCGCTAAGCGTGGTACTATGGTAAATATCTCACTTAAATCACGGTCCGTAGTGCCCTAGCCAAGTGCTTAATAGCTACAGCGCTACCTGTCATTCACCAGTATTTTTCTTTTCCCAGCTGGTTAAATACAGCCCGGATGCGGTCTTTATAATCGCAAGCAACCCTGTAGACATACTGACGTACGTCACGTGGCGTATCAGCGGCCTGCCTAAGCACCGCGTGATCGGCTCGGGTACGAATCTGGACTCTGCTCGTTTCCGATACTTGCTGTCCCAAAAACTCGGCATCGCACCCGCTTCCTGCCACGGGTACATCATCGGGGAGCACGGAGATAGCAGTGGTAAGTTGTTTCTTCTTATTCTCTCATCAACAAACCGAAAAACTATTGCTGGACATGGGTATTTTTTATAGGATAAGGGTGACAAACGAGCACACAGTCGACCTGATGGTAAGTGGTTGCTGTGGCCCATAGACATCTACATTTATTCTCGATTCACACTTCTACACTCACCATACGAAACACAGCAGTATTAAGCTGCTATTTTACGCTGGTATTCTGTGAGAGTGTGGTCCTTCCCCGGTCGAGCCGACCCATTCCTGTTACAACTATACCAGAAATATAGATGCAGCGTAGCTCTACCACGTATAAAATTTGGGTATTTGCTTTGTCCAGAGAATATGCCTTAATCGTCATGCTTGGATTGACGATTGCATTTCCAACGTTGCACGTCTGTTGTTGCTGTCTACCGCCGGTTTGAGTATTTTACTATAGGCGTAGTGAGTTGGTTAAAATGTTATCACAGAATACTCAGGTAAAATAACAGCTCATGCTGGCGTGTTTCGTATGGTGTGTGTAGAGAACTGGATTCTCTTTTTACTGTTAACGAGGCATTCTATCTTAATCCTCATGGAACCGCACCTACATTTTGATTTTAATCGGGATAGATGTAGGTTTTTTTTTTTTTTATAAGATAAGGGTGACAAACGAGCACACAGTCCACCCGATGGTAAGTGGCTGCTGCGGCCCATAGACATCTACATCTATCCTCTGTTACAAATCAAAATGTAGATGCGTCGTCACCCGTGAGGACTAAGATGGAATGCCTCATTTCCAGTAAAAAGGGCCTCCGGCCACCTGCACTCACCAAGCGAAACGCAGAGGTAAACCTCTACTTCACGCTGGTTTTCAAAAAAGGTACCTATGGGCCACAGCATCCGCTTACCATCAGGTAGACAGAGGGCTTAAGAGTGAATAAGATTGAATTTGAAACTTGTTATTCGTACAGTCCAGTGCGTTTCTGCACAAATGTTGTCCTCGACTGGCATTCGAACCTAAACGTTGCGAGACAAAGACCTTATACCAGGTACTTTAAATATAATGCCACACGGTAGATACTTACATGATATAAGTAAATACAAAACTCATTATTTTATAGGTCGAGATTATAATGACTACTTAATAAAGTACAAGGTTTTATGGCACTTTTTAAATTGTCCGTATTTATTACATTAAGAAAGCTCGGTGGTAAAGAACTCAGAACGTTTTGTTGGCATTTTTATATATCTTAATTTAAACCACATTAATCGATAATTGCAGTCTGCCAGCGAATGATATGAACAAAAAGGCAAAGCTTTAAATTGGATATATTAAGAGGCATGTTTCAACCAAATGTTGCAATCCAAAAATATTCTTCCATTCGTAAGGGCTGCCTCCACAGAGCTTAATATAAGAATATCTGCCTAGAAGTAGTCACAAGAAATCCTTACAACAATCGTCACACTTTATAACTGAAAATCGTTTTTTTTCGTAGTGCACGAGAAATGCTGCACCTCCCTGACTCTGAGTTTTTCCCTTTTAATTTATAGTTTCTTCCCTAATGTTTAAATTTGTAAATAGTTCAGATCGTAAAATTTTAGGTAAGGAAGTATGTATTTTATACACTTTTTCTGTGAATAGGGGAGGCAAGAATTTTTCTCGCTCTTTCACATTGTGAGGTGTGGGGTATCATTAGAAAATCTTTTAAAACTATGTATCATAAGGTTCCGTAAATCACGTTCGCAATTGAGCAAGCCTGTCCCATATCTTCAAACTGGCGATGCCGAGTGGATTAGAGGTCAACAATGTCGACAAATATACCGCTGTTTATCGCCTAGTTTGTTATCATTTTCAGAGAAGGGTGACAAATTAACACACAGTGCACCTGATGGGAAGTGGATGCTGTTACACCTACATCTATAAAAATACTACTATTAAAAATCAAAATGCGGATGCGTTATTGCCCCTAAGCGCTAAACCTGTGTCTACTACTAGAAAAAACTGGAAGGGTGTAGTATAATACGTACATACTTGTCACATTTACAGAAAAACCTTGTGAATCCCCAGTGTACCACAAATTGTTACTAATTTTTAAGCAATTTTTAAGATAACAAATGTTACTAAAAAAAATTATTATTTTATGAAATTAACAGAACATTTATCCTGTTATTTGACCAATCTGTTCGACTCAACAGTGCCTATATGGTCCGGAGTGAACGTCGCAGGCGTGAGACTCAGTGATTTGAACTCAAAGATAGGGAGTGAGGAAGATCCCGAACAGTGGCGCCAGATGCACGAAGGAGTGGTCAAGAGTGCTTACGAGGTCATCAAGCTAAAGGGCTACACCTCCTGGGCTATTGGACTATCACTCTCGCAAATCGTCTGGGCCATCCTGTCCGATGCAAGCAGCGTGCATCCCGTGTCTACTTATCTAAAGGTAAAGCACTTTATTCATGACCCATCCCAGCTTTACGTCCTCTCAAGGCCGCAGTGCTGGACGTAGCATTTACACTATCGCGCGCGCATCCAGCGTGTTAGATGTAATCGAACGAATTAAATAAGCGTGCGTGTTTTATTGGAACGAAGTTTAGGAACGAAGTTCCTTATCGCACGGAACGAATTTGGCGGACTTACTATCGTTTTTCGTTGGGCATCGTTCGTGACCTTGGCAGGACGTACAGCCGTGAATAAGGCGCTTAAATTCTACGAGAGCTAATTATCTTACGCTTACCAGATTTCGCTTGTTGGGCATTGGGAATATTTGTTACGCAGATGGTCAGCGTCATCATTATTGATAAGCTGCGATTTATTTAGAAGTTTTCGATTTCTAGGGTATATATGTACAAAAGAAGGCACTCTTTAACTTTTTTTTTTTATAGGAGAGGGGGCAAACGAGCATGCGGCTCACCTGATGGTAAGTGACAACCGCCGCCCATGAACAACTGCAACACCAGGGGAATCGCAGATGCGTTGCCGGCCTTTTAAAAAGGAGTACGCTCTTTTCTTGAAGGTCCCTAAGAGTGAATAAGATTTTTACACACTTTTAATTATTTCCTAATTTTTATACTTCTAGGAATATTCTTGGTTTGTTATTACATTTCTTATGTAATTTATATAAAATTTAACTAATATTTAAAAAGAAACATTAATTTTTACAATTTTCTCACAAATTACATTCACTCGCTATGAAATCTTTCATAAGTGGCGTCGCCCAAATGGCAGAAAAAATATCCTCGCTTTTGTATTTAGTGATTTTAGATGAGTGAGGGTGTTCTTGTAATTTCTTCTTTCTTTAATTTTTTTTCTTTATTATGACCAAATAACGCTATCACTCTCTACAGAGAGACTTTGATTATTATCACTGATATTCGTATTTGTATTTTGTATTAACAATTTGGTAGTTCACATTCACACCATCTAATAATATATAAAAATTAATTTTTGTTTGTTCGTATTTAGTGCACAGCCATACCGTTGTCAACTTATTGCTTGCACTTGCGCGAAGGTTAGAATAAAGGCATAGTACTATTAACTTACAGTAGGTGGCGTGCGTATGGTACCGATAAATTGATTTGAAAGTTTTGACTGTAACTACTTGTACTCTATCTATTTTGTGCTGTAACTGTATGTTTTTGCTTTTGTGTGTATAACGCTATAATTCCGTCAATTGTGAATAGATTTAATAATTATAGGTACTTATTTTATATAGAGTACGTGAGGGTAATATGGCCATCCAGTATAACTCAAAAGCTACAGCCTAATTTGCATAGATGGCTTTGTGATACGATAGCTCTACATTCAAATAATAAAGGGTCAAGAGGCCGCCGCTTTATCGACGCCATTTTGACAGTTGATATTATACTAAGTACGTGAGGGTAATATGGTCACCTTAAGCTTTATCGCCCAATAAGAGCCAAATTAGGAGGAGGACAAAAACACAAAGTCGTATACTATAACTAATATATTAAGAAAAGAAATAGCAAACAAGCTTTGGAAATAATTAGGAACACTTCGAAAAATCTACTTAAAGAAACTAAATACACTACACAATACAAAAATCGACTAAAATATTTACAATAATATCAACTGTCAAAATGGCGTCGATAAAGGAGCGCCTTTTTGGCCCTTTATTATTTGATAGACTGATCAAGAGCTATCGTATCACAGAGCGTTCTATGCAAACGCCGCTATAGTTTTTGAGTTATAAGAAAGTGACTATAGTAAGTTTTTTTTAATTTGATTTTTCGAAGTGTTTCTAATTATTGCCAAGGCTTGTTTGTTATTTTTTTCCATATTAGTTATAGCATACGACATTGTGTATTTGTGTCTGTCCTCCTCCTAGTTTTGGTTTCCTTAGGCGGCAAAGCTTAAGGTGACCATATTACCCTCACGTACCTTGTAGGTAATACCTAAAAGGTAGTTACCAAATACATTAGAAGAAAAATATTCTTAACGGCGAGTAATTAGGGATGAGTTTTTAATGTGAGATGATATTCTAGTTGTTTCATTTTTACTCTAACGCACACTACATGTCAGTCTTGAGTTAACCAAAGGAATCAGCTTTAAATTTTTAAATTTGAATTATTCAAACAAAATAAAAAATTGAACTCTTTTAGAAGATTTTTGAAATATTTATTAATTAATAAATTATGTTTAATTTCAGGGCATGCACGGAATCGAACATGACGTTTTCCTATCTTTACCCTGCACGCTGGGTCATTGCGGAATCTCCGATGTGATCTGTCAGCCACTGACCGACAAGGAACTGACTCAACTACGCATGTCAGCTAAGCTCATGGCCCAAGTCCAAGCGGGCATTAAGTTTTAAATTATTTTATTAGTGCTAATTTAACATGCTAAGGTGGAAGTCCAGAATTTTAGATTTTAGAAGTTTAGATCAATATTAATTGATAAATCATCTAATACTCTGTCAAACGATACTAAAGTAATTGTTATTGCATTGCACCATATTGTATGCAATAGTCGAATATTTTTAAAAGTTAAATGGTTTATTACATCGTAAATATGCAATAACCATTTTTCTCAATTTGTTGCAATACTAAAAGTAATCTTTGATTATAATTAATCAAGTGTTAAATTCGAAACATTGCTTATTTAAGCGAGCAGCAGAAATATAAGTGAACATGTGTATAACGGAGTGTAAAAAAGAAGTTAATCACGTGGAAAGGCTCGAGTAACAATAATGGGATAGCGACCATCTCGAAGACCTAAATCAACGGGAACTAATAATATCCCTAGAAGGAGAAGATAGTTCGGATTTGGACAGCTACATAAACGAGAGTGAAGCGAGACCATGTTAGTCATCGTACCAATAAGCCATAGTGATGATGATCATTAATCAATGCCTATAATTGATTGTCATCACTATGATTTATGTACAATTTATAGTTATATTATGATATAGGTATAATATGATATATATACATAGAAGTATTATTGCTTTAAATAAAAACTACTACTACTACTACTTCTACTATATTTTATTTTCAATTTCAACATAGACTTTACGAATGTTTTTGTATTTAGATATTATAACATTGTCGCAAGTTCACTGCTAATCTTAGGCATTCCTCAAGGAATGTCAAGAAACACGGTCCTCAGACAACCCGCCTGCATTGACTTCCCGCATGTCTTATTGCCAGATCGTCATTCCATATAGTTTCATTACTTTACTATTCAAGCGAACTATAATTTCATGTTCCTCTAAAGTTTTTGATTCGCTAGGTCTATTAAGTCCTTGTATAATACAGTCAAAAACTATTTTGCAATAATTATGGCTTGACAAAATTGGCTGGCATGAACCTGTATCAGATAATATTCAAAGATCACGGATTAAATTTGTAAATGGTTAACCAAAACTTATAACATTAGAAATACCAAGGTTGGTGTTAAGCAATGTTCCAAAAATAATAGAATTACTTACATTTAGTGATAGCATCTCAAAGCAAATATGATGCTTGTGACTATATTAGGTGCAAAAACACAGATGGTACAATCACTGTTAGGTTACTTTATAATAAATCAAAGATAACCCCTGTCAATCCCACAACTATCCCTTGTTTAGAGTTATGTATAATACTAATTGGTCGCGAGGCTTTGTAAATCAATTACCGTCTCTCTAAGGGTGAGTTCACACTGAAACGTGTTAAAATAGTGACAAAAAATATAACTTTATGTAATAAACAAAAAGATACATATTTTATTGCTGTGTGGTCAGTTTCGTCGTTTATAATGCGTACAGGAAAGGAGTGGAATAATTTACCAGAATCTGTCTGTGTGTGTGTCTGTGATTATAATGTGGGGCACCCACATTATAATCTAATGAAAGACACGAGTGAATATGCTTTTTAAGCATATTCACTAAGTCAGTGCGCTTCATCATCTTTGTTAATAGAATGATTTTCAACTTTAATAAGTTTTATTGCTATTAAAAATTTAAAGGCGTTTTCATATTTTCCTTAGCCTTTCATAGACAAAGGAAAAATGTACCATACAGCCTATATCAATTTTATACTTTGTGTAATAGATTTATTTTGGTAAAGATTTTTTTCCGCTGTAAGTGACACAAATAATATATTTTAAAAGTCAGGAATACAAGTTGTTTTTACCAAAATTAATTTTGAAAAAAAAAATTACTTTTAGTTTTGATATTTTGGATTTTCCAAACAATTTTATTTGATGATAAAAGCATGATAGATTTCCTAATTGTGGAGAGGAGCGCAGTATTAGATACAATGGTTTATCGGGGATCGAACGAAGGGACGGATCATACTTGGTCTAATGCCGAATTAATGGTCTATTCAGGCGTTGGTGGCATCGGACATCTGTGTTTACCACTGCGTTACAACGTATAAGAATAGAGAGGTTACAAGATGAAGGTGTGCAAGAGTAGTATACAACTAGACTGAGAGAAAATATAAGGGTGTTTGAATGAATTGTGTATGAATGATTTAGACTTGAAGACCGTATGCAAAAATGTTAAGAAAGTTTTGGTGGATGCAGCCACCGAATTATGTGGTTACACCACGTAAGAGAAAAAATGAAAGGAAAAATAATACGTTGTGGTGGAATGATGAGGTACGGATGGAAGTTGAAGCAAAAAAGAGAGCATGGCTAGATTTACTAGCAACGAAAGCTGGTATATCTGGCGATATGAATGATGAGATTGCAAGAAAAAAGGCAGTCTTTAGACGTCTAACTAGGAGAGTAAAAGAATTTGTTGAAAGTAAAATATCTGATAACTTTCAGGCAAATATTAAAATGTTCTGGAAACTCGTAAGAACTACCAGGGGAATTTCAAAACAGCCTAGAATGAGCAAATACAAAGTTCTTTGTATTTGCTTCATGGTTACTATCACTAGAAATGCCTATGGTACTCGTATATAAAAAAGATAAAAACGACTACAACCTTCTAAAGGAGAGATGGTGACAGTCATATCCATCTTTTTAATCTATATAAAATGTCATTTGCATAAAAAGTTTCATGACCTACATGAGGTTTTGTTTTGATTTTAAGACTCTATTATTATTATTTTCGTGTACGATATTCACAGACAAAGTGAATATAACCACTACGTTTATTCACAGAGCAATACGGCCACAGGCGGATCGGAGGAGAGTAGCCATGCAAAGGCGTTCCCCTCTCTCAAAGTTTAATGGGGTCCTATAATAAAAAAAAAAAAAACATGCGTACAATAAAAACTAGTTGTTTTATTGTCAGCGCACTGCTCACTAAACTAAATCTAGTTGCACGACGTCCTACAAAAATGCAGAATTGATTAGTTTTTTGCTGCAAAAAGAAATCTGCCACGTCAAATTTACAAAAGGCGTTACATTTAATAAATGTATGATTAATGTTTAATCACATTTTTGCTATTTACTTTTTTTTATACTTAAAAATTACAACAATAACGGTCGTGTTGTTTCGGATTTGATAGTGACCATATCAATATTAAAAATCTTTTATGTTTTAAATAAATTGACTTGGCAATCGCACTAAACAATCTAATTTAATGTAATATGTATTACTTGAGACATACATTGTGTTTTCATGAGATGGCCAAGTCAATCTATTTAAAACATAAAAGATTCTTAATATTGATATGGTCACCATAAGATGTTGTTAGGTTAGCTATAATTACGTAATAACTTAAGACAGAAGGACCCTTAAGTAGGGACTGAATAAATTATCCGACTTTGTATTACATGGATCTCACAAATTTTTACGGTATAAGAACTGAGTTGCGAGACTTGGTTTTTTTTACAAGTTATGTTTTTGATGGCATCTCATTTGTTTTTGTAGAAAGTTATATCTAGGTACTTATCTACACCTATTATTCCATTGTATTATACATATATAGGTACACTGATTCATTCACTGCAAATGTAACTTTGTAATCCTATATAATTATATGGGATTACAAAGTTATTTATGCAGTTGGTGTATCTCGAAAACTGGATCGAAATTGCAAAATATTTTAATTTTTACTTGGTTTATATACTAAACAATAATTGTATTCCAAATTTCAAGTTCCTATGTCTGCTAGAAATGGCTTAGAGTTTTGATGATCGTTCAGTCAGTGAGTGACAAAATTAAGAAACTTTGGCTAGTTATAATTCTTAAACTACTGGTTGAGATTTAATTAACTATGAAATATACCGAGTTTATACAATGCCTACTTGGTTACGGAAAATTCCGGCTTCTAGTTTCATCCACAACGAAGTTATAGGATTTCGAAAATGGCCTGAACTGCTTCGAGTAAAGGATGTTACGGCCGTGCCGCTTTTTTGCTCGGCTTGGCGGGGGCACTGCCGTGCCCCCAGATAAATGGTTGAATAAGGTATAGTTTTTTAATATATTTTGAATCAGAATCAAGTACAGATTCATCATCATTACAGACCTTCACAAGTCCACTAATAAACATAGGCCTCCCCCAAGGAACGTCACAAAGCACGGTCCCGAGCCTCCTGCATCCATTGACTTCCTGTATGTCTTACCAGGGCGTCACTCCATCTAGTGGTGTATATCCTACTCTTCACCTGCCGGTACGAGGCACTCGAGAACCTTTCTTCCCCATCGGTTGTCGCTTCTTCGAGCTATATGGCCCATTGCCACTTCAGCTTACTAATTCGTTTACCGACATATGTCGGTTACTCTGGTTCTACTGCGGATATCGTCGTCTTTAAGTCTATCAGGCAGAGAAACCCCATGCAAACTCATCTCCATAGCACGCTTAGAGACTTTGAGTTTCATCATACGGCCAGTAGTGAAGGACCACGCCTCATATACATCACTGGCATCACTGGCAACACGCACTGGTTGTACAATGTAGTTTTGAAGTTTTAATGTATGCTTGACATACTGATTAACTTCATTTAATATGTCCGGATTACTAAGCGAATGGATACTATGGACAGGGCTATGCTCGGGGTTTCTCTGCGTGAAAAACTTAGGAATGAGGATATCCGCAGTAGAACCAGAGTAACCAACATAGCCCAACAGATTAGTAAGCTAAAGTGGCAATGGGCCGGCCATATAGCTCGAAGAACCGTCAACTGATGGGGAAAAGAGGTTCTCGAGTGGCAGACTCGTACCGGTAGGCGAAGTGTAGGGCGACCCCCCCACTAGGTGGAGTGAAGACCTGGTAAGACATGCAGGAAGTCGATGGATGCAGGTGGGTCAGGAACGTGCTTTGTGGCATTCCTTGGGGGAGGCGTATGTTCAGCAGTGGACTTATGAAGGGCTGTAACTATGAATTTGCCTGATGATCAACACACAATTACTATTACTTAATAAAAACACAAATTTAATTTATTAGATTTATTGCATTTTCAATAATTACAAAAGTTGCGACACCAGAATTATCGCATATATTTAAATATAAAACATACATTATGCATTGTGTTATGGTTGTAAATATTACATACCTACTTACATAATTCTACAATAATATGTAAATTTTTACAAAACATCATTTTCTTATAAATATATTTTCTATAAATATTAAGCAGAGAATAAATATTAAGTGAACAATTTTGAGATCGTCCAAGACACTATCGGACAGTCTCAAAATTAATTGAACTCGTATCATTCATTTATTTCCCCTTACCTAAGGTTGGTAACCTCGATATTTTAATAATTTATTACCCACAATTTAACTTATTGTTGTTGCATTATTATTTCTAAGTTTAACATCATCTAAAATTATTGGATGAACGGATAATCTTCGTAGACTCTTCCGCATTGGTTTTATTTGATTTTTCAAGAGGTTTTCGAGTTCCGTTAAGGATCGGATTTCTTTTAAATCATTTAGTTTAAAATTAGCACTACGTCCACCGTTTAATCTTCCCAGATATCTGTAAGCACCTCCATTTCCTTGACATTGTGCACAATTGTAAGGAACAGGTACAGCATTAGGGAAATTTTGCTGAGCAGACTGCATATTGGTAGCATTTCCAGGGCAGCTAGGTACAAATACGACAGGTATGAATCCAATGATACCGTATGGACTATAATAGCCCTGGTTAGCTGGGTAGCCCTGTCCTTGCTGTTGAGAAACTGCAGTTGAGTCATTTTTCCCTGGGTTTAAAAGATAGCATGGACATGATCCTGGACTTGGTACAATAGGTAGGGGGTACGGTATGACGTAAATAGGGAATGGCGGCATCTGGCTGTAAGGCGGATAAACCGGTGGCTGAACTCCAGTTCCAGTAGGCTGTCCGACTGAATCACCACCTGAAAGTAATGTTTGAGATTTAATTACGCTATAATATTAGTTTATTAACCTTAACCATCTGTAATAAATAATTTGTTTTATTTGTGTATTATTCTCATAATTAATTAACCTTGTTTAAATATAAATATGTAACAAAAAATTGGCAGGCGATATACTACGTAATACCAGTATATTTAGTGGAATACACTGTGATGTGCTCTTGTTATGAAATACAATTTCAATAGATTCTGTGCGTTGACAGTATTTATGTATATATAAACACAGTATTTTATTTCAATTTCAGTTTTATATTTCATTCATACAATATATACTTAAGGGCATCGTCGCGTCGTCGTAACGTGTTATTATAGCATAATGCAAATACATGTTATAGACATAGGACATAGACATAGGCATATGTTTTATTAGCATCAATACAATCAACACAATATATCGTTACCGTTACAGCCTATTAAAGTCCACTGCTGAACATAGGTATCCCCCATAGATTGCCTCATAGGGGGGGGGGGGGATATTTGCCATAGCTGCCACGCCTGGCAAGCGGGCTGGCAACCGCAGTTTTTTTTGATATTTTAAGTTCTTATCAGGAAGATGCTACTGCCCATCACATGTTTCAATTTCCCTCTGTCGACTCTTACGACACCCACGGGACGAAATGGAGTAGTTCTTACACTGCCACTACACGGTACCAATATACATTTACACAATATACATTTAAAAGTAAATAAAAACATATAAAACGTACAAGGTACAAGGAAAACATAAATAAAATATATGGAGGAGACCTATGTTTAGCAGTGGACTTGTTAAGGGATGTAAAGATGATAATGGTATGAGGACGATAACGGAGTGGAGTGACTGGTAGTACTGTGTTTACTATACATTAAATGTTCGTTAATATACTGAAAGGCCAGTGTTAATATATTTATTTTAAATTTTATCTAAGACACTTCTTCGGAGTATAAATGTCAGTAAAAATATTTTCTAACACCATCGATCCCGTGATATGTAAGCATTAGAATTGCTAATTATTGTATACTTAGAATTATTAATATTTCTTTGACAGATGTTAAATATCAAAAATGGTGACGAGAAGTCGCATCAAAGATTATAATTGAGAATTCGCCTGCCAATCGTGGTTATAAAAGAAAATTTCCCATGCAGTGTGAGTGATTCATGTACAGCTGTTGAACCAGTTATCATACGTTGCATACGTGATGTTGAGAATAAAGGTAAATATTATATGATTTAACGTATAATGCTTGGCACATTAATACCTACAATAAACTTTACCAGATTACCTGTCCCCGAAATAGACGCAATAGTTAAACATTCAAAATGTTCATATTATGGTTCATGGGACAGGGAAAGGGTTAAAATGGAATAGATAAAAATGTATAGTACAACTCACCTCCTGATTGTTGTCCGGTCTGTCCTGTTGTTCCTGGTTGCCCAGGGTAACCAGGCTGCCCTGCTTGGCTAGGTTTTCCTGGTGTTCCAGCTTGTCCTGGTGTTCCACCTTGTCCTGGTTGTCCTGGCTGACTCGGGTAGCCGGGTTGTCCGGGTTGTCCTGGTTGGCCTGGTTGACCCATTTGACCCGATCCTTCTGTTTGTCCTGGTTTTACACCTTGTCCTGGCTGCCCAGACTGTCCCGGCTTACTTGGCTGACCTGGTTGACTTGGCTGACTTGGCTGTTCTGGCTGACCTGGGTAGCCAATTTGTCCTGGTTGACTAGGTTGACTTGGGTAGCTAGGTTGTCCTGGTGCTCCACCTTGTCCTGGTTGTCCAGACTGACTTGGGTAGCCAGATGGTCCTGGTTGACTAGGTTGACCTGGATAGCCAGGTTGCCCGGGCTGTCCTGATGCTCCAGGTTGTCCTGGTGCTCCGGATTGTCCTGGTGCTCCGGATTGTCCTGGTGCTCCACCCTGTCCTGGTTGTATGGTTTGTCCTGGTTGACTAGGTTGACCTACTTGAGCTGGGCCTCCGGTATGTCCTGGTGATCCACCTTGTCCTGGTTTTCCGGCCTGCCCTGGGTAACCAGGCTGTGTTGATTGAGTAGGTTGACCAGGATATCCAGGCTGACCGGGCTGTCCTGGTGCTCCGGGTTGTCCTGGTGTTCCGGGTTGTCCTGGTGCTCCAGGTTGTCCTGGTGCTCCTGGTTGCCCTGGTGCTCCGGGTTGTCCTGGTGCTCCAGATTGTCCTGGTGCTCCACTCTGGCCTGCTTGTCCGGGCTGACTGGGTTGTCCTGATTGACTTGGGTACCCGGTTTGTCCTGGTTTACTAGGTTGACCAACTTGCCCTGGGTAACCGGGTTGTCCTGGTTGACTAGGTTGACCAACTTGGCCTGTGCTTCCGGGTTGACTTGGTGATCCACCTTGTCCTGGTTTTCCGGGTTGACTTGGGTAGCCAGCCTGTCCGGGCTGTCCTGATGTTCCGGGTTGTCCTGGGTACCCAGGCTGTCCACCTTGTCCTGGCTGTCCTGGTTGAGTTGGGTAACCAGGTTGACCTGGGTAACCGGGTTGTCCTGGTGCTCCACCTTGTACTGGTTGTCCGGGTTGACTTGGAAAACCAGACTGTCCTGGTTGAGCTGGGTAACCAGGTTGGCCTGGGTAACCGGGTTGACCTGGTGCTCCGCCTTGTCCTGGTTTTACGGGCTGACTTGGGTAACTAGCCTGTCCGGGCTGTCCTGGTTGACTAGGTTGACCAACTTGGCCTGGGCCTCCGGGTTGTCCTGGTGCTCCGCCTTCTCCTGGTTGTCCGGGCTGAATTGGGTAACCGGGCTGTCCTGGTTGACTTGGGTACCCGGTTGGTCCTGGTTGACTAGGTTGACCAACTTGCCCTGGGTAACCGGGTTGCACTGGTTGACTAGGTTGACCAACTTGCCCTGGGTAACCGGGTCGTCCTGGTTGACTAGGTTGACCAACTTGGCCTGGGCCTCCGGGTTGTCCTGGTGCTTCACCTTGCCCTGGTTTTCCGGGCTGACCTGGGTAACCAGCCTGTCCGGGCTGTCCCGGCTGTCCTGGTTGACCTGGGTAACCGAGTTGACCTGGTGCTCCGCTTTGTCCTGGTTTTCCAGGCTGACTTGGGTAACCAGACTGTTCTGGTTGTCCGGGCTGACCTGGGTAGCCAGGCTGTCCAGGCTGTCCTTGTTGCGCTGGGTACGCGGGTTGTCCTGGTTGACTAGGTTGACCTACTTGTCCTGGGTAACCGGATTGTCCTGGTTGAGTAGGTTGATCTACTTGGCCTGGGCCTACGGGTTGTCCTGGTGCTCCGCCTTGTCCTGGTCTTCCTGGCTGACTTGGGTAACTGGGCTGTCCTGGTTGACTTGGGTACCCGGTTGATCCTGGTTGAATAGGTTGACCAACTTGCCCTGGGTAACTGGGATATCCTGGTTGACTAGGTTGGCCAACTTGCCCTGGGTAACCGGGTTGTCCTGGTTGACTAGGTTGACTAACTTGACCTGGACCTCCGAGTTGTCCTGGTGCTCCACCTTGTCCTGGTTTTCCAGGCTGACCTGGGTAACCAGCCTGTCCGGGCTGTCCCGGCTGTCCTGGTTGACCTGGGTAACCGGGCTGACCTGGTGCTCCGCTTTGTCCTGGTTGTCCGGGCTGACCTGGGTAGCCGGCCTGTCCGGGCTGTCCTTGTTGCCCTGGGTACGCGGGTTGTCCTGATTGACTAGGTTGACCTACTTGCCCTGGGTAACCGGGCTGTCCTGGTTGACTAGGTTGACCAACTTGGCCTGGGCCTGCTGGTTGTCCTGGTGCTCCGCCTTGCCCTGGTTGTCCTGGCTGACTTGGGTAACCAGGCTGTCCTGGTTGACTTGGGTACCCGGTTGGTCCTGGTCGACTAGGTTGACCAACTTGCCCTGGGTAACCGGGTTGTCCTGGTTGACTAGGTTGACCAACTTGGCCTGGGCCTCCGGGTTGTCCTGGTGCTCCGCCTTGTCCTGGTTGTCCGGGCTGAATTGGGTAACCTGGCTGTTCTGTTTGACTTGGGTACCCGGTTGGTCCTGGTTGACTAGGTTGACCAACTTGCCCTGGGTAACCGGGTTGTCCTGGTTGACTAGGTTGACCAACTTGGCCTGGGCCTACGGGTTGTCCTGGTGCTCCACCTTGTCCTGGTTTTCCGGGCTGACCTGGGTAACCAGCCTGTCCGGGCTGTCCCGGCTGTCCTGGTTGACCTGGGTAACCGGGTTGACCTGGTGCTCCACTTTGTCCTGGCCTTACGGGCTGACTTGGGTAACCCGACTGTTCTGGTTGTTCGGGCTGACCTGGGTAGCCGGCCTGTCCAGGCTGTCCTTGTTGCCCTGGATACGCGGGTTGTCCTGGTTGACTAGGTTGACTAACTTGCCCTGGGTAACCGGGTTGTCCTGGTTGACTAGGTTGACCAACTTGGCCTGGGCCTGCGGGTTGTCCTGGTGCTCCGCCTTGTCCCGGTTTTCCGAGCTGACTTGGGTAGCCTGCCTGTCCGGGCTGTCCCGGCTGTCCTGGTTGACCTGGTGCTCCGCTTTGTCCTGGTTGTCCGGGCTGACCTGGGTAGCCAGCCTGTCCGGGCTGTCCTTGTTGCCCTGGGTACGCCGGTTGTCCTGATTGACTAGGTTGTCCAACTTGCCCTGGGTAACCGGGCTGTCCTGGTTGTCCAGGCTGACCTGGGTATCCAGCCTGTCCGGGCTGTCCTGATTGTCCAGGCTGACCTGGGTATCCAGCCTGTCCGGGCTGTCCTTGTTGTCCTGGGTACGCGGGTTGTCCTGGTTGACTAGGTTGACTAGGTTGACCAACTTGGCCTGAGCTTCCGGATTGTCCTGGTGCTGCGCCTTGTCCTGGTTTTCCAGGCTGACTTGGGTAACCAAACTGCCCTGGTTGTCCGGGCTGACCTGGATAGCCACCCTGTCCAGGTTGTCCTGATGTTCCGGGTTGTCCTGGGTACCCAGGCTGTCCACCTTGTCCTGGCTGTCCTGGTTGAGTTGGGTACCCGGGTTGTCCTGGTGCTCCACCTTGTATTGGTTGTCCGGGCTGACTTGGAAAACCAGACTGTCCTGGTTGTCCCGGCTGACCTGGGTAGCCAGCCTGTCCGGGCTGTCCCGGCTGTCCTGATTGACCTGGGTAACCGGGTTGACCTGGGTAGCTGGGTTGAACTGGGTAACCGGGTTGACCTGGTGCTCCACCTTGTCCTGGTATTCCGGGCTGACTAGGGTAACCAGACTGTCCTGTTTGTCCAGGCTGACCTGGGTAACCAGCCTGTCCGGGCTGTCCCGGCTGTCCTGGTTGACCTGGGTAACCGGGCTGACCTGGTGCTCCGCTTTGTCCTGGTTGTCCGGGCTGACCTGGGTAGCCGGCCTGTCCGGGCTGTCCTTGTTGCCCTGGGTACGCGGGTTGTCCTGATTGACTAGGTTGACCTACTTGCCCTGGGTAACCGGGCTGTCCTGGTTGACTAGGTTGACCAACTTGGCCTGGGCCTGCTGGTTGTCCTGGTGCTCCGCCTTGCCCTGGTTTTCCTGGCTGACTTGGGTAACCAGGCTGTCCTGGTTGACTTGGGTACCCGGTTGGTCCTGGTCGACTAGGTTGACCAACTTGCCCTGGGTAACCGGGTTGTCCTGGTTGACTAGGTTGACTAACTTGGCCTGGGCCTCCGGGTTGTCCTGGGTAGCCGGTTTGCCCTGGTTGACTAGGTTGACCTACTTGGCCTGGACCTCCAGGTTGAACTGGGGTTCCGCTTTGTCCTGGTTTTCCGGACTGTCCAGGTGTTCCTGGGTATCCTGGCTGTCCTTGTTGTCCTGATGTTCCTGGTTGTCCTGGGTAACCTGGTTGTCCGGGCTGGCCAGGTTGACCTGGGTAGCTGGGCTGTCCTTGTTGTCCGGGCTGTCCAGGTTGGCCTGGGTACCAAAATAATATAATAAGAATAAATAAGTATAAAATAACATGCTATAAAGAGCAAGGATTATCTTCATTAAATCATCTAGATGATGAAGTAACATACGTTCGTTACCCCCTGACCACACACTCGTCGAGTATCATGAGAAGTAGCGAGGAAAGGAGGCAGAGACGTAGTGTGGCCACAATACTCGTCATACCGCACGTCATGCTCTTCGTCATAATCATCGCTCCCTGTTTTGTCGGTTTTTTGGGGGCGAGTCAAAGGACTGGCTATATGAGCGCAAATGCAGTCCGAATCGAGCACTCATTACCGAAGCGTCGTTCTACTTTGATGAATATATGTCATCCACCACCTCCGTTGGCAAGAACGACGACATATATTTTTTTTAATAAAATTGATATAATTAGCTATACTAAAAATGCTTATAGCGTTCATGCTGCCACAGTTGTATTAACCATTGTGTTGCAAACACGAGGGACTTAGTGCGGAGCGTCGCAATTAATTGCGCGAGTAGAGCAGTGTGTGGCCAGAGAAGGCAACATCGCGACAGCGCGAGGAGCAGAGCGAGGAGCAGCGCGAGGAGCATAGTATGGCTGAGCCATAGGGATTAATGTGCTATGTCTACTAATAACGCTCAAAAATCACTTTTTTATGTATGTACCTTATTGTGGCTTATGAATAAGAAATAGAACTATGGTATCGCGGAAATTTTTTTAGATGGAGCAAAGATCTATATTTTTGTACAACATAGTATTTACGTATCACTAACTATTAGGCCAGCGCACGCGGATTAAGCAGTTGGGTAGCGCTTTTTCTTCAGACTTGTTTAACATTAATGAAGTTTTTAAGGCTGGCTGAGAGGTGTAGCCTAATGCTAGACGAGGAATAGCCTATACTATTCCTTGTGAATCTGGCTATCATATACAAAAATAATCTTTCAAATTGGACTGGGAGTTCTAGAGATTAGCGTGTTTAAACAAACAAAAAAAACTCTTTCGCTTTATATTATAAGTAAAGATTCTGCCTCATATATATTTGTCTCTTTTTAGTGTCACTTTTTCGTTTCATTTATTTCAACAACGGTGCTAAAGTAGTTTTTACTTAAAAAAAAAACTGTAACATTTTGGGGGTAGCCACCAGAGTCATCTACCATAACCTCCATTTACATGATTACCACCAGGATGCAAAAAAAAAATCTTTGGAGATTTGATAGTCACTGACGACCGGAACTGTCAACGTCTTCGCAAAGTCTAGGTAAAACAAAATTTCATGATTTTAGGTAGCGGATAGTTTGATAAGGGAGTGTGCGAGTATTCAAATATGAGACAAAAAATCGTATTATTGATTGAAGAAGCTTGATAGGTAACAGGCGACAGATGAATATTGTGTACATTGTTATACATTTTATTCACTGCTGAAGATTACTGCCGGTATAAAAGTTGTTACGCTTTGTTCTCTCATTACAAAAGGTTTTGTTATGACCTTAGGTGACATCTGTAACGGATGGACGTGGCTACCTTTATCTCATAATGGACAAACAAGGATGAACGTTGTTCGTACCTGGTTGTACAGGAGAACCAGAACCAGAACTGCCTGGATAATAGCCGTTACCGTCGCTGGGACCACCTGGGCCTCCTGGTCCACCTGGTCCGCCGGGACCTCCAGGACCTCCTGGACCACGTAAAAGCATTTTTTTTTTTATTTTGATACATTGAATATTAAAATATTATGCATTATTTAATAATCTAAGGCAAAATGTGGAAGGAATGCATCTTTTTTAGGACACTGGCATACCTAAGAAAAAAATTATGGAGCACCGCCGTGTATTCTAAGCTCTAAATATCAGGAATTAAAGGTGGCTAAAGGCAACAGATACACTGTTGACTCTTTTTCTTTTTTCCGACAATATAGTCCTTGATGACTTCAATAGTGCCTCCCAATGGATAGGTCTTAAGATGAACACGGACAAAACGAAAAACATGTATAACGTCCATGTCACACCTATGCCGGTAGTTGTTGGGAACATTTAGCTCGAAGTTGTTGACGAGTATGTTTACCTGGGACAAATAGTCCGACTAGGTAAATCCAACTTCGACCGAGAGGTCAATCGACGGATTCAACTCGGCTGGGCAGCGTTCGGGAAATTACGACACATCTTCTCGTCAGGAATCCCTCAAAACTTGAAAACGAGATTGTACAACCAGTGCGTGTTGCCAGTGATGACCTATGGAACTGAGACGCGGTCCTTCACTGCTGGTCAGATGAGGAAGCTCAAGGTCGCTCAGCGAGCTATTTAAAGGGCTATGCTCGGAGTTTCTCTGCGTGATTAACTTAGAAATGAGGATATACGCAGTAGAACCAGAGTGACAGACATAGCCCAACGGATTGGTAAGCTGAAGTGGCAATGGGCCGGCCATATATCTCAAAGAATCGACAACCGATGGGGAACGAAGGTTCTCGAGTGGCGGCCTCGTACCGGCGGACGAAGTGTAGGAAGTCGATGGATGTAGGTGGCTCAGGACCGTGCTTTGTGGCATTCCTTGCGGGAGGCCTATGTTCAGTAGTGGACTTGTGAAGGGCTGTAATGATGATGATGATGATGATGTGCCTGTTGGGAAACGAACATAAGGTGTTAATTTACTTTCTTATCAAATGAAAGTAGTTATTGTAGTACATGAAACCAGCAACTGTGGTTCACCACGCCTAATGCTTTGTGATCACTTTTAGCAGTGGTGTAGCGTCCCTTAGACGGGCCCTGTATCAAAATTTATTGGGGTCCCCAAATGAAGAGTAAAGATTTTTCACAAAAGGAACAAAAATGCTCGCTTTGAATTAAATAATTATACAGGGTTTTTGAAAATATGAGTAAATAAGGCTTTTTCTTTTATTTGAAATTATCCCAAATTGAATAGATTTATGGGCAACTACGTTTTTGCTTACCGATCGACCCTTACGAATTTTGAATTTAAAAGACATTAAAAGACAGAATGTTTGAAATTGTTTTTTAATAATTTTTCTTTACCATTTGCCTACATTACTTATTCTGAACCTTTTCGCCGGTTATTGCAAAATAACTTTGTATATTGATTAAAAGTCACTACTGGCAATTAATGCTCCTAGGAAAGAAACTAGCCAAACAATCCAAATCAAATAAACTCTTTTCTTGTCTTTTGTTCGGTGAACTTATTTATTATTTCATATCATTTGTAGGTGGAGACGATTTCAGTTTTTCAAAATTTTCTGCCTCTATAGAATATAGCCAATAGTGACCAGTCTGATAGCCTTTCCTGTTGGGACAGAATAGATAGAATAGAAGTCCTTAGAATTTTCGCTGGTACAGGTTCGGGGGCCCCTGTAGCCCGGGTGCCCCGTACCATTGATACGACTGATACAGCGGTAGCTACGCCCCTGACTTATAGTCTCATACTGCAACAGTTATACCATTTTTGCTTGGTTTATGACTTATCACTTTTTGCTTTAAATAAGACGTTGTTATTATATAGCGATAAAGAATTTTTCTTTCATTTTTCATTTCTCTTTCTTGCCTTTATTCTTTGTAATTTTCGGTCTGTACATAGATCATGATAAGCGATAGGCCCTATTAAATAGTAGCGACAAACTCCATTTTTGAGAAATATGAATGGATACGTGTCATTAATACTGCATCCAAATCTATGTCCAATTTGAATATTGCACGTTTAGTCGAAAGAAAAAGTAGGAAGAAATAATGTTTTACCTGGCCCGCCAGGTGTTCCGGGTGCTCCGGGTGAACCTGAGCTGCCCGGTTGATTTGGATAATATCCACTTCCAGGGGGACCGACTGCACCTATTAAAGATCAAAATATATTTTTTTCGTTCTTTTGCAATGGAACATAAAAAAGAACCTTAAAAGAATTGGTTAAATTATTATAATTAAAATACTTTTTACCTGGTCCGCTTGGTGTTTGGCCAGGGTAATAGCCGCCAGAACCTGTTGAGCCAGGGCTGCCAGGGGTTCCTTGTGAGCCAGGAGTACCAGGAGTACCTGGTGATCCCGGCGTACCAGGAGTTGCAGGATTGCCACTTTGTCCTGGGTAGTATCCACTAGAGGGTCCGTTTCCTGACGCAAAAATTACAATGGAAATAAGTTTATACCTACATGTCACGAAACGAAAAACGTAAAAAAATATTCCTTGGTCTAGTTTTGGTTTACAATGATAGTCATATAATCGTGTTCACTTTAAATTGCACACCAGTGAGACATGAATAATTAATTTATGTCTGTTTGTTTGTCTGGGCTTGTTTTCGTAAGAGCGGAACTGATTGTGATGAAATTTACGAACAGATAGGGAAGAATACTAGGATTGATATAGCCTATATTTTCAATCTATCTATCTATGATATTATATATATAAATATATCGAACGCCGCCACATAATACATAAAACTGGCAGAGAACAGAAAGAACAGAAAAGTTTCACGCTTGTTCTACACAGGTGAAAGAGTTATTTCCGAACAATAGATAAAAGTAAAATATAACTTACAGTAGTAATATTCAATGTTTTTACGGACATTATACCACCTCGCCTTTCTTTTGACCATGGATGCTGTAAAGCGTCCGAAACGTTAGAAATTAAAAAAGTTAATTTAAATGTGACAAATCCGTAAAAATAGTTAGAAATGCAACAGATCCGTAAAAGAAGAGTTCGTGTAGTAGTTTCCAGTAAACATAAGAAATCATAATGAATAATTAAAATTTTAAAATTTTGTACCATCGACTTCAGTATAAATTATTAAGAACTCAAAAACTATTGGTCAGACGTTGATCAAATTTATATAGGACCACATGTGAAGCACCAGCTTTCAAATAAAAATAATCGAAATCAGTTCACCCAGAAAAAAGTTATGAGGTAACACGCATAAAAAGACATACAGTCGAATTGAGTACCTTCTCCTGTTTGAAGTCGGTAGAAAAAATAATCTATACTGCATAAATATAAAATGAAAAAATTGAGGTGTTGAATGAAACTAACTTCGATGTTAATTTATTGTTTTGTCTTGGTACATGATTTTAGGACAGGTCACGACATCTATTGAGAAGTATCTATGTCAAAAACAAATACTTTAAGATACGTTTATCCTAAAAACGTGTGAATCTTTTGATTATGGGTGATTTTATACATTAATAATCACTTAACTATCTCTTTAACGTAATGATATAAATAATAAAAAGGTGATATGGTATTTGCATTATATAATGTTTTAAAAGACACGTAGGGCTTCTAATTTTTCTGTTGGATATCAATATGCTGTAAATTTATAGGACTTTGAAAATAGTTCTCCAGATCCCAGGCCATCCTTTTTGTCAAACTTCATAACGAGCAGTTCAGTGGTTTTGCTTTTAAAAGGCAGACTATAACTTTAGCATTTATAATATTAGATTGTATGGGATCCCGAGCATATGGTAACACCCAAACATTTTCTCTATTGAAATTTGGAAGTTATCAGGAAAGCAATAAAAAAACCGGTTTGGAATTTTTTATAGAAGTGTCAATAATGGTTCTCATTTCCGATTTGTGCAATTCTAGAAATAAAGAAGAATTAAAATTTAATGAAGAACTTGAAAATGCCAAAGTCCTGACTCCGACCTGTTACTGAGAATTTCTTGACATAGAAACCTAACGGTCCCAGGTCAGACCAAAATGATTTTGGTCTGACCTGTGATTCAAACATGGGACCACGTGATCCGTAGCCGTGCTTACGCGGTAAAGATGCGGTCCACTTGACCTGACTTTAAGTGACAATGTAGCCGAGGATCTCAAAGCGCACTGGTTCGCTTGACAATAGCGTATTAATTCTTACCAAGACACCCACATTGTAATCGAATGAAGAGAGAGGCGCTGGCAACTAATTCCACTCCTTTGCTATGCGCATTACAAATGACAAGGAAAAACTGTTGAAAAATTTCCTTTACATTAAATTAAATTTTTTTTAGTTTAATGTATATCTCTATAAGCTTGATAAATAGTGCTAATTGTCTGATTGTTTGTAATTAATACATTAAAATGTTGTCATGTTTACCTTGTCCACCGCCCGGATAGTAACCGCCTTCGGTGCCTGAACTAGGGCCGCCTGGTCCTCCTGGGCCACCGGGTCCTCCAGGGCCTCCAGGGCCTCCTGGACCACCAGGACTGCCAGGAGATCCGGGACTTCCGGGTGTTCCAGGATAATATCCTCCTTGCCCTAGAGACATAAATGGTAATTTAAAACGATTCTACCGACGGCTATTTTTGGTATTATATTCTTGTGTTATTTTGTAATTTCTTAGAAATATTATTGGAGTGTAACAAATAAATGTATTTTGTTTTTATCGTCTTTTTCTTCATCAACCCGTCTCAGTCCACGACTTGACTGGACCTCTCCCGTAATTCTTTTTCCTTTGCTGTATTTTTCTTTATTTTATATTATAAGGGTGCCAAACGAGCACACAGTTAACCTGATGGTAAGGAGATGTTGTGGCGCATGTCATCTACGCCCATACATCTGTCTTCGATTAAGAATCAAAATGCGAATGCGTTGTCCCCATGAGGACTTAGATGGAATACCACTCACCATGTGAAACATAGCAGTTGTAAGCTGCTAGTTTACGCTGATATTCTGTGAGAATGTGATCTTTCCCCGATCGCATGATCCCCATTTGTACTACAATCATAATATAGCTGCTGCGAGGATCTCCCACGTGAAAGTTAATTTAATAGATGGGGAATGATTTAAGGGCAACACGTTGAATTATTTATTTAGAATAGAATGCGAAAATCTTAACTGGCTAGGTTTAAAAGTAATAATGCTCAATACATAAATCCCATTTAAATGACAATTGATGAGCATTAATAAAATAAGTAAGCAGATTGATTACCTCCTGGTCCACTAGGACCGCTTGGTCTGTAAGGACCATTAGGGCTGCCTCCGGGTCCGTTCGGTCCTCCGGGTGCATTCGGTCCCCCAGGTCCGTTCGGTCCTCCAGGTCCGTTTGGTCCTCCGGGTCCGTTTGGTCCTCCGGGTCCACCTGGACCACCGGGCCCTCCAGGGCCTCCAGGGCCTCCTGGACCACCTGGACTGCCAGGAGATCCGGGACTTCCGGGTGTGCCAGGATAATACCCTCCTTGCCCTGCAGACAAAAATAATATATTAAAACGATACTATCGATGACAAATATTACTATTATTTTCATGTGTTATTTTGTAATTTAAAATATTATTGGAGTGTAATAAATAAATATATATATATAAATAATAAATAAATATAATATTATATTTTTATATTATTCTTCTTCATCAAACTGTCAAGGTCTACAGATGAACATGGACCTCTTCCTCGTAGGGGGGACAGGTATACTGGCGATCGCAGTATCAGACATATGCTTTATTACCTTTGACAGTTCTACTTTTTGTTTCCATCTATAAATGTAAATTTCTTATGCCATAAAATTTTAATTTTTTGTGGTATTTTATAGTATAAGGTGACAACCAATCGCGCAGTGAACGTGACAGTAAGTAGATGCTATGGCCCATACACATCTACGTCCATCTACATTTGTCTTCGATTAAGAATCAGAATGCGAATGCGTTGTCTCTCTGAGGACTAAGATGCGATGCCACTCACCATATGAAACATAGCTGTTATACGGTGCTAGTTTACGCTGGTATTCTGTGGGAGTGGGATCCTTCCCCGATCGAAAAATCCTCATTCGGGCTACAATAATAATATAGCTGCAGCGTGGATCACCCACGTGACAGTTAATTTAATAGGTGCGGAATGGTTTGAAGTGAAACCATGGAATTATTTATTTAGAAAGGAATGCGAAAATCTTACGTTATGTAGGCTGTTTAAAAATAATAATGCTCAATACATTAATCCCATTTAAATGACAATTGATGAGCATTAATAGAATAAGTAAGCATATTGATTACCTCCTGGTCCACTAGGACCGCTTGGTCTGTAAGGACCATTAGGGCTGCCTCCGGGTCCGTTCGGTCCTCCGGGTGCGTTCGGTCCTCCAGGTCCGTTTGGTCCTCCGGGACCACCTGGGCCACCGGGTCCTCCAGGGCCTCCAGGGCCTCCTGGACCACCTGGACTGCCAGGAGATCCGGGACTTCCGGGTGTGCCAGGATAATACCCTCCTTGCCCTAGAGACGAAAATATTATATTAAAACGATACTACGATGTTTAATACTGTTATGGTTTTCATGTGTTATTATGTAAAACACGCACAAATGCACGCACGCTCGCACGCACGCACGCACGTACGCACACACACACACTCACACTCGCACACGCGCACACACACACACACACACACACACACACACACACACACACACACACACACACACACACACAACGCATACGATTCACTCGCTTACGCGTATGCCCTCTCTCAAACGAAAAGAAAAAATATCACAGCAATATTTAATAAAAAAAATACAAGTTGGTCATCCTAAATGGGGAACGGGAGATCCATAACACAGGGTATCCTAGTTTGGACTCCTATCTCCCATACTCTTTGGTTTTATTTCATAAGAAAAAATATGTTTGTGAACGACAAAGTATGCAATGTACTATTTGTAGGAGAAAATAATAAAGGTTATTATTATTATTATATTGATTACCTCCTGGTCCACTAGGGCCGCTTGGTCTATAAGGCCCATTAGGGCTGCCTCCGGGTCCGTTCGGTCCTCCGGGTGCGTTCGGTCCTCCAGGTCCGTTCGGTCCTCCGGGTCCACCTGGGCCACCGGGTCCTCCAGGGCCTCCAGGGCCTCCTGGACCACCTGGACTGCCAGGAGATCCGGGACTTCCGGGTGTGCCAGGATAATACCCTCCTTGCCCTGGAGACAAAAATAATATATTAAAAAGATACTACCGACAAATATTGTTATGATTTACATGTGTTATTTTGTAATTTCTTACAAATATTATTAGAGTGTAATAAATAAATATATAATATTTTTATCTTATTTTTCTTCATAAAACTATCAAGGTCTACAGCTGAACATGGACCTCTCCCTCGTAAGGGAGACAGGTGTATTGGCGATCGCAGTATCAGACGTCTGCTTTATTACCTTTGACGGTTCTACTTTTTGTTTCCATCTATAAATGTAAATTTCTTATAACCTTTTAATTTTTTATTGTATTTTATACTATAAGGGTAACAAACGATCTCATAGTGAACATGATGGTAAGTAGATGCTATGGCCCATAGACATCTACGCCCATACATCTGTTTTCGATTAAGAATCAAAATACGAATGCGTTGTCCGCCTGAGGACTTAGATGGAATACCACTCACCATATGAAACATAGCAGTTATAAGCTGCTAGTTTACGCTGGTATTCTGTGAGACTATGATCTTTCCCCGATCGCACGATCCCCCTTTGTGCTAGAATCACAATATAGCTGCTACGTGGATCTCCCACGTGAAAGTTAATTTAATAGATGGGGAATGATTTTAAGTGAACACGTTGAATTATTTATTTAGAAAGGAATGCGAAAATCTTAACTGGCTAGGTTTAAAAGTAATAATGCTCAATACATAAATCCCATTTAAATGACAATTGATGAGCATTAATAAAATAAGTAAGCAGATTGATTACCTCCTGGTCCACTAGGACCGCTTGGTCTGTAAGGACCATTAGGGCTGCCTCCGGGTCCGTTCGGTCCTCCGGGTGCGTTTGGTGCTCCAGGTCCGTTCGGTCCTCCAGGTCCGTTTGGTCCTCCAGGTCCACCTGGGCCACCGGGCCCTCCAGGCCCTCCAGGGCCTCCTGGACCACCTGGACTGCCAGGAGATCCGGGACTTCCGGGTGTGCCAGGATAATACCCTCCTTGCCCTGGAGACGAAAATAATATATTAAAACGATACTATCGATGACTAATATGATTGTTATGATTTTCATGTAGTTATTTTGTAAAACACGCACGTACGCATGCACACACACACACACGCACACACACCCACACACACACCCACACACACACACCCACACACACGCACATACATGCAACGGATACGATTCACTCGCTTACGCGTATGCCCTCTCGCAAACGAAAAGAAAAAATATCAATGCAATATTTAATTTAAAAAAAAATCAAGTTTGTCATCCTAAGTGGGGAACCGGGAAATCCATAGCACAGGGTATCCTAGTTTGGACTCCCGTCTTTCATACTGTTTGTTTTTTTTATAAGAAAAAATATATATGTAAAAGATAAATTATGCAATGTACTATTAGTGGGAGAAAATAATAAAGGTTATTATTATTGTTATATTGATTACCTCCTGGTCCACTAGGACCGCTTGGTCCTCCAGGACCATTAGGGATGCCTCCAGGTCCGTTGGGTCCTCCGGGTGGGTTTGGTCCTCCGGGTCCGTTCGGTCCTCCAGGTCCACCTGGGCCACCGGGTCCTCCGGGGCCTCCAGGGCCTCCTGGACCACCTGGACTGCCAGGAGATCCGGGACTTCCGGGTGTGCCAGGATAATAACCTCCTTGCCCTGGAGACAAAAATAATATAATAAAACAATACTATCGATGACTAATATTGTTATGATTTACATGTGTTATTTTGTAATTTATTGAAAATATTATTGGACTGTAATAAATAAATATAATATATTTTCATCTTATTTCTCTTCAATCAAACTGTCAAGGTCTACAGCTTAACATGGACCTCTTCCTCGTCCCTACGATTTCCCTGTAATTGCCAGACCACCTGTCCCGCTGGACAGGTGGTCTGGCAATCACAGTATCAGATGTCTTTATTACCTTTGATGTTTCGACTTTTATTCACATCTATAAATGTAAATTTCTTACGCTATAACATTTAATTTTTTTATTTTATTTTATAACATAAGAGTGGCAAACGATCACACAGTGAACATTATGATAAGTAGACGCTATGGCCCATAGAAATCTACGCCCATACATCTGTCTTCGATTAAGAATCAAAATGCGGATGCGTTGTTCCCCTGAGGACTAAGATGCAATGCCACTCACCATATGAAACGTAGCAGTTATGTGTGTGATCCTTCCCCGATCGAATGATCCCTATTTGTGCTACAATCATAATATAGCTGCGGCGTGGATCTCCCACGTGAAAGTTAATTTAATAGATGGGGAATGATTTGAAGTTAAACCGTAGAATTATTTATTTAAAAAGGAATGCGAAAATCTTAAGAATAGCTCTAAAAATTATAATGCTCACTCAATACACAGATCCCACTTGAATGACCATCGATGAGCATTGATGGGATAAGTAAGCATATTGATTACCTCCTGGTCCACTAGGACTGCTTGGTCCATAAGGACGATCAGGGCTGCCTCCAGGTCCGTTCGGTCCTCCCGGTGCGTTCGGTCCTACAGGTCCGTTCGGACCTCCGGGTCCACCTGGGCCACCGGGTCCTCCAGGGCCTCCAGGGCCACCTGGCCCACCCGGACTGCCAGGAGATCCGGGAGTTCCGGGTGTGCCAGGATAATACCCTCCTTGCCCTGGAGACAAAAATAATATATTAAAACTATACTATCGATGACTAATATTGTTATGTAATGATTTCTTATATTTACGCGAACATTACACATTGAATAAAACTACTTTTACTAATTTTATCGCGTATAATTAACTTATTTTGCTTATTTTAATTAATTCTCGACATTATGGGTGCTTTCCAGCACCCATGGTCACGGGGGACTGAGGTGATTGACGTCCCGATGTCAAAGTTAATCCCGAGTACCTTCAGCCTTTTTAATTATTAATTTTGGTACGATCTATGCAGAATGAATATTCTAATATTGTTATGATTGCTGATATTCTGTGAGAGTGTGATCCTTCCCCGATCGAACAATCCCCATTTGTGCTACAATCATAATATAGCTGCAGCGTGTATCTACCAAGTGACAGTTAATTTAATAGATAGGGGATGATTTGAAGTGAAAATGCAGAATTATTTATATAGTTTAGTTATTTGTGAAAAACTTAGCTATAAATCTGGCTAGGTTTAAAAATTATAATGCTTAGATCTTAACTAAATGACCATTGATGAGCATTGATGGAATAAGTACGCACATTGATTACCTCCTTGTCCACTAGGACCGCTTGATCCTCCAGGACCGTTAGGGCTGCCTCCGGGTCCGTTCGGTCCTCCGGGTCCACCTGGGCCACCAGGTCCGCCAGGAAAACCGGGAGAGCCTGGAGAGCCGGGAGAACCGGGAGAGCCGGGAGAGCCAGGAGATCCGGGTGTTCCTGAAGTTCCAGGATAATAGCCTGGTCTGTATGGGCCGTTAGGACCGTTGGGTCCACCAGCATCTAGAAGTTTACAAAAGTTTATACAAACACATACTTCTGTACTATATGTTTTGATGACAACTTTAATTCAATAATTTTAGTTTGTAGTTGATGATTTTTATTTGAAAAAAAAAAAGAAAGGAGGTGTAAAAAGAGGCGGGTTCGATCTTAGTGTAAAGCTCCGGAACAAATTTAATCGTTAATTGCAATTTTAAGTGCTGATTTACCTCGTGTTCTGCGGTGAAAAAAATATCTTGCGGAAACCTGCATGTATAAGAAATTAAATATTTCGAGGACTGTGGATGTGAAGTTTGCCAAGAGGCCGTGAGGGAATAGAGAGTGCATTTGTGCTAGCGCATACACTCGGCCACTATAATCCTGTCACACGCAGATGGCTAATTTCCGTTGAGGCTTGCCGCCGTGACCGAAACTCACTCTGGAGGACATTATTATTGTTAATATAAAAATTGCTCTATCGTAAGGTCAAAAAATTATTGACGTAAGCTGAAAACTATATTAAAATTAATGAATTATGACACTTCTTTGTTGCTTAGATTGATTCATCATCATCGCAGCCCTTCAAAAGTCTAATCCTGAATACAGGCCTCCCTCAAGGAATGCCACATAGCACGGTCCTCGGTTAAGTACATCCATGGAGTTCCTGTCTTGTGTTGTGTCACTTGGATTGATTATTTTAGAGACATTAATCTAAATTATTATGTTTTACTTACTTGGTGGTAAGACATCAGGTTTCGGATTGCTTGTTTGCCCAGTGCTGTCTGGCGGTGGACGTGGAGGACGAGTTGGTTTCGGACGGGGTTTTGCAGGCACGCCACCAGGAGTTCGACCGCATCCCTTAGGGAAGTATAGTCTATCCCACGGAATAGTTTGACCAGGTACAGATTCAGTATTTTCTGGACTGTAATAAAATCAATCATTATTATGAGAAGGGAAAAAACATGTTTTTTTAGATTTCTCTAAAATTACGTGGTAGAGCCGTGCTGCAGCTATATTAGTAGTATAGTTGTAGCACGAATAGGTCGGATCAATCGGCGAAGGACTACGCTCTCACAGAATACCAGCATAGAAAAGCAGCTTAACACTGCTGTGAATCGTATGTTGAGTGTAGTGAACCGGAGACCCTTTTTTACTGGAAAAGAGGCATTCCATCTTAGTCCTCACGGGTGACAACACATCTGCATTGTGATTCTTTATTGAGGATAGATGTAGATTTCTATGGGTCACAGCAATAAGGTGGACTGTGTGCTCGTTTGTCACCCTATTTATAAAAAACCAGTTTCAATTATTTTTTCTCACTATTTTAGTTACGTTACAAAAGTTTTTACTTACTTCTCATCGTATTCGTATTTTTCATCAGGGAACACTTCTACTGGTTTTTCCGGTTCGACCACGCGGTATCCGTGACTGTCAGCTACGTAGTGCGTAGCGCGGAGATAACCCTCCGGATCTACGTATCCGTAGCATCCGTATGTGACCCCGTCTGGGCCGCGGGATTCGTGGTGGAACTGGCCGTTCGGACCTACGTCGTAACCAAAGCCGTATGCATCTGGAAATTGCATGAAGAAATGACGATTTCACGTTAAAAGTTTGCATTCGTAAATCATGTTTTTTATTAGAAACAAACCTAAATATTTGAAATAAGCCGTATTATGCGATTTGTATTTGATATCTGCAATATCTTGACTAGATCTTTTAACAATATGAGTACTTACTGGTGTCGTAATTCGTTTCATAGTACTGCTTTTTCTCATTGTCTTGTATATCAACTACCAATTCATTATCATTTGTATATGTGTTATCGTAGAGGTGACGTCCTTCTATACTAACTCCCTTAGCTTCTTCTTTTGTTTCTATACTTGTAGGAACACCTTTGGCTGTCGTCAGTACCAGCGACGCCTAAAACCAAAATAAGGCATATTGTCAATCTACAGTATTTGCTATATGCTTTCGGCGTGTTGTATTTTATTTGATATGTATATATACAATCTTTTATTGATACGTTACTGTTGTAGCAAAAGACATTGAATCTTTCTATTAAGCATATACTTTAAATAAAACTAATTTTACGGATTTTATCGCGTATATTAACTTGTTATATATTCCAGACGTTTCGAGCACTTTACAGCACCCATGTTCACGGGGGGGACTGGGGAGGGACACCACACACACAAGTTAATATACACGATAAAATCCGTAAAATTAGTTTTATTTAAATGTGTAGTGTTCGCGTAAATATAAGAAATCATTAAGCATATACTTGTCTCCGTACAGTAAAGTATGTTGCAAAATGTTTAAGACTGGGTATGTATTTTGCGCAATAAATTACTAAATATTATTGTTCGGGCGCACCTTCATGTACGGGCTTCATGTATGTAATTATTACATGTTATATTGAAGCTCGACTAAGTGCACAAAATCCTTTATATTACACGTTTTTCTGTCATTTAGTATTACTTACATTTTTATTCGCATAATAAATAAATGAATTAAAAAGAAGCTTTTAAATTAATATTAATACCGCAGGAATACTGTTTTTTTTTTATAGGATCAGGGTGACAAAACTGCATACAGTCTATCTAATTGTAAGTAGATGCTGTGGCCCATATACATCCACATCTATCCTCGATTGAGTCTAAATCCAGATGCGTTGTCACATCTGAAGACTAAGATGGATGTCTCGTTTCCAGTAAATTGGGTCTCCAGTTCTATCACAGTCTATTTTACTATTCTGTGAGACCGTGTCCTTTCCCGGTTGAGCCAACCCATTCGTGCTACAACATGAATGCCCATTAATTGCTAAAATATTGCTGTAGATATATAAATTGCAAGCAAGAAAGATATGCTGTGATTTTAGATGTAATAAATCTAAAAAAATAATATATACTTATTTTTTTTTAAATTACGCATAATTGGCATATTTTAAAAGTTAATTTTAACTAAGCAATTGCGTTGGAATTCAATAAAGCGCCATGTATTCAAAATTATTTATTTACTTTGTCATAAAATTATTAATTATCTTTATAGATACGTTGACTTGATGTGACTGTTCAGTTCTGTTGATCAGGTAGCCACTAAAATATTCTTGTATGGATGTCTAATATCATGAGGCAATGTCGTGAGTTAAATTGGTAATCAATTGCAAAACTGTCAATGAGGCTTTCGTCTCTATTGTAAACATTAATATGAAGTGTTGAACATCGGTGCTACGAAATGTCATAATAATAGTATTAACTGTTGTTATATTATCTCATCGCCTTGATTTGTTTGCTACAAGGATTTAATTATATCCATCACATACATGTTGTTATGTTTACGCAAAAAATTCAAACCTTTAAATCTCTTTGTGTTTATATTACTAGTTAGTGGAATGTGAAGTATAAATTTATTTCATGTCTAACGATGAGATAATGTGTTAGGCATTCGAAAAAAAAAGAGTGCGTGTAACCCTAGGAGTAATTACATACAATATGTACTCTAAGGTGAAACCTTTAGGTGCGGTTAAAGTAACTTATCAAAATTCTTAATAAATAATTAGGTACATTTATATCTGTTATGTATTCATTCTTTTCGTTAACAATTTTAATTATAAATAGTAATTTACTTATTAATATAATACTAATTAGTAAAATAATAATTATGATTTGTATTTAACGATATGATTTGTTATTAGTTATTATTGCTTTTATAAATGCGCAATCTGTGTTAAATGGACCATACTTTTTCCTGGCCGTAACTTTCATCCAAAAATATTTGTTTTAAGAGGATACTCACGTCGCGCCTAAATAAAGTATATTTTTTTCGAGATTTATTTTTAAATATTATTAGTTCACCTAATGGTAATTGGCTCCTGCAGCCCATGGAAATCTGCTAACATAGATCATGTGCAACCCCCCAAGACTAATACATACTTAGTCGTCTTTGATGATACGGTATATATTTAATTAAAAGTCTGTAATTATAATAGATCGTAAGTGGAAATATGATAAATAAATAAATAAATATTGACCCTAAAGCCGCGTCTCCATCAAAGTTTTGTTGCCAACACGTGTTGCCAACAAATGTTTCTGTCAACAAGCGTCTCCACCGAGGGGACAAATGTTGGCAAGCGAATTCCTTTGATGTTGCCGCCAAAAATGGAAACAAGTTTTGTTGGCAACTGTTGTGTTGACAACAAAACTTTGGTGGAGACGCGGCTTAAAAGTGCCTGTTTGGCGGTAGTAATAGGTAAGAGGTAGGTAACAACCGAGACGGCTTCCTATGCAGAAATTAATTCAATCATTAATAAAAAATTATATTTTATTTTCCATCCCAAGACAACACTAAACTTTCTCATTTTTGTAACGCGTTTGCTTCTAATATATTTAAGCAAAAAGACGATTACAACTTTACTATGTAAACATTTGTTCGCGTTGGCAAAGTAGCCTTCTGTGTAGAATTTAGGTAATTTATTTGTCTGTCGCAGCTTGTTGTTACCGGATGAATTAATTATAAGTTTATAAATATTTAAATATTTTATTTATTAATAAGTTAATACTTAATAGTTTTATTATCTGACAGGAAGTTTAAATCCATAGCATCGCTTAAAATTCCACAGATAGCCTATGACGAAGGTATTTTGTCATCAGTATCTCTACTATTATATATTTTGTAAATTAGTATAAAGAGCTTAGAAAACCAAAATTAAAAGTATTAAGATCTAAATTTAATTAGGTAATTACTAACATGTATTTTCGGATAAATATGGGTTTAATAAAATTCCTTTACAACAAGTGAATTTGGAAACAAATATTTCATATTAGTCGCAGTAATACTGCTTTAATCTACCAACTTCAAAAACGGAAGGGTTCTCAATTCGGCAGAATTTTTTTAACTGTGTTCCAAACATAAGTTTCTATATTTGGTCATAGGTATTTTATTAAGGTATGTTTACCGATTTCTCGGAAAATGTTGAACCGATTTTACTGATTTTGCTATTATTAAATAGATTATATATATAGAATTCAGGAATTATACTCAATTTAGATTTGAAGAAAAAGGAGTGGAAAATAGGTTATGAAAATTTTAATAATATTATTTATATTAGAAAAAATAAATTATAATGTAATTATAATATTCAGATCAGGGGTTCCTAAACTTCTGAAGTAATGGAACACTCACCAAATCCCTTTTATTTTATGGAACCCCACATTAAAATGATTACAAACCAAAGACATTTAAATAAGATATATATTTACCTACAAAACAGTATTTGGCTAAATCGCATCACATATTTTGGACTATTTCAAAATAATATTTGTATTTAACTGTGGATTTATTAAAAAGCAAAAATTAATAATTTCGCGGAATCCTGCCGATTTTTCTACTGAATCCTTAGGTTCCGAGGAACCCACTTTAGGAATTTGTGATTTAGACGACACTCTAGTTGTAACCTTAAACATGTGATAACCCTTAGTCCACTCAAATAGCAAAATAGTTAAACTTTAAAGAAAAATAAAACCGACGCCAAAAGAAAAGAGGAATAAAATAGTTTTCACAATAGCTTCTGAAGCTTTAAACTTTAATTCTTTTTTACGCTATGTCTTATTACCGACTTAAGAAGCTATTATGAGAAAATTATTTATTCTTTATTGTTGTTGAAATCAATTTTTTATTTTCATAAAAGAAATTAATAATTATTATAATAAAGGTATAAATAACCTAATATTTATGATGATAATTTTATTTGAAAAAAAAACACACAAAGAAATATTTTTTTGTGTGTGTGTTTTTATTCATTACCGCATTGAAACAACCGGAATAACCTAAAAGGATTACGGTCATGTTGATCATGATTGAGAATATTCGCTTAATGTTCCAGGCCGCTAAAATCGGGGCCGTATTGTAATTCAGCGTGCGTTCGGTTTATATTTTGGCAATGTCTTCAACGTCCGTGACCGTAACCTCATAACGTACATTCTTATGTTTTAAACTTACGTAAACAGACATGTAGTAAATAGTTTTTGATCGCAAATAATAGCTTTGTTTAAGCATTTCATAAAGGCCACGGTGACATTTTTCAAGTCCGAAATTTCGCGAAACAATAGTTTCGACACAGAAACTTAAACAACGGTTCATGGGGTTACACAGTTAGAAAGGCTGCTTTGTTATAGGTTCTAAGAACGTGTTTCTCATACCCATTACCCCTGGCCGTAAAATAATTGCAGTATCGACAAGTACTCGTTAGTGAAGGAAAACATCGAGAGGAAAGCTTGTTCGGTGTTTTCTTTCTCTGGCTAATATATTTTTTGCGGATATGTAAAGTTGTGTTTAAGGACTTATATATGTTGTTAAATGTGTTTGTGGAGAGTTTGGGACTCAGAAACAGGATTATTATAGCTTATTTTTAAGCCACAGACTCGTCAGTCCATCTTATCCATAGTATCGTAATCGAATCGAAAAGTTTGATTATAGTATAAATCATTGACGACTCAAAATAAATCCAATCCCGTAATACTTATTTGGATTTTGGCTTTTGTCTAAATAAATATAATACGTGGTAGAGCCATGTTGCAGCTATATTATGGTTGTACCACGAATGGGTTGACTCGTCCGGGGAGGGACCACGCTCTCACAGAATACCAGCGTAAGATAGCAGCTTAACGCTGCTGTGTTTCGTATGATGAGTGTAGAGAACCGGAGAACCTTTTTACTGGAAACGAGGCATTCCAACTTAGGTGACAACGCATCTGCATTTTGATTCGTAATCGAAGAGAGATGTAGATGTCATGGGCCACAGCAACCACTTACCATCAGGTGGACTGTGTGCTTGTTTGTCACCAGTATCCTATAAAAACAAAAAAAATCTGCTTCAACTGGGATCCGAACCTAAGACGTATCGTTTAACAGAGCAAACTTGT